ATCACGGGAGAGATGGGGAGGGGAAGGGAAGGACGGAGGGGTATTCCCGCGACATTGACAGTACGATGCGAGCGCGATCGCTCGAGGTAGCGCGCTCTTTTATCCCGTTTTTTGGAGTCGGGTGCACCGAGCCAATTACTACTCGCGCTATGTAACCGTCGAAAATTAAGTAATGCTTATGAAGGCGGGTAAATGCACCTGCGCGCCTCTCTCAGCAGGTGCGTACCCACGGTTCGCCTCTCGGGCCCGTTTAAAAAAATAAGAGGGGTGGAGCGGTATATCGTGGGTCCGGCTCGCGTGTCCTTGCGCCGGCAAACGCATAATCAGCCTCTCGCAAATGCGTGCTCGTGCTCGCGCGCGCGCGCGCGCATGCGCATGCATGTGCGAGCGATCGCGGTTTTCGCCGTTGCGTTCTCATTGTTGCGCCTCCACAAAGGTTGCATCTCGGTGATCTTTATTCTGCCCACGAGTAACATTTGCGGTCGCCCTTCAGTTCCTTACCTTTGCAATTATCCGGAAACTCCTCTCGAGTGAGATGTCTGCTCGTAAAAACGATATCTTGTAATCAATCACCCGGACCGATTCAATTAGGACTCGTCGCGGGGATCTCAGAAATTTCATGATCTTAGCACCTCCACGTTTTCTTTTTCATCTTCCTCTTTTTTTCGTTCGGCTTGAAACGACTGGATTATATATAAGTCGCTGGTACACTCATCCCCGTTTTCCCCTATCGTTCGCGCGATTCGTTCGCGCTTCGTCCCGCGGCGTGTGTTCTAAGATACGCGAAACAGATACGCTTGAGAATGATATTCGAGAGAAGGACCGAGTAACGCGGACGCGGCGTGAGGAGGAGATTGAAAGGGAGAAGAGAGGCAGGGAAAGAGAGGGAAAAGAGGAGAGGAGCGAAGCGAAGAGCCCGTATCGCGATGTTCTGTTCCGAGCACCTGCTCGCCCGGTCGGCATTCTTTCGTTTCATCTGCAGGCAACGAAACTGCCATCCCGATCGCGCATAGAGGCGTATCTAATTGCAAATGCGCAAAGTGGTCGTCGTAAATAACGGCTCTCGAGTCGCGGTCGCGACTCTGAAATCGATTAACGCTCAAATCGGTTCTACTCGTTCGCTCGCTCGTCGCGTTATAAATAGCGCCCGCTATCGTCCGCGTGTGATCTATAACGGGACAATTTACTTGTCGTACATCGTTGAGATTTACTTTTCAAACTGTAACTGTGCAAGCTCGTATTTCGCGCGTGCGGACTCGGGAGATCGATTAACCAAGTATGTGCGGCCGCTTTTCTCTCGCGCGAGACCGCCTTCTCGGGAGTGCCTTCGTTTTCACTGTCGCTCCTTTTCCACGGAAACGCCGTTCCGGCCAACCATAATCGATTTCGCGCGGCGCTACGCCGCACGTTTACGTCCACTTCGGCCGGATTATGAGGTTCGCGGTCGGTCCGAGTCGTTCGTCACATTCATGAAGGCGCACCTGCTCGCGGAAAAGCACGCGGTGCCGTTTCTCAGCTCCCTCTCTCTTTCTCTCCCCCTCGCTTCTCCTAAATTGCTTCTCCTAAATTCGGTGGATCACACTACTGCTAGCCGCTCTCACGGCTACGAGCTTATGGGCTGCGCGACATAACGGCTGCGGAGTGAAACGGAATGAAACGAGATCCGATCCTTGCGAAATTTCACGGCGCTCGATATACCATCAGGGTCCATCGAACTCGGTTTTAACTTTTCAGTTTTATTTAGCAGTCCCGGAGCTATCTGAAAAGATATTGGTCTTTTAGAGATATTTCAAAGAACGAACAGAGCATTTAATTATTTTATTTTAGTTATTATATCCTCCACAATACATACACCAGGAGAAAAATAATATGTTATAAATTTTATGCTGTCGTAACAAAATCTGTCGGTTACTATAATATATGGATAGCAAAACGATTTGAGAGAATACTAATTGCCATTCACTATTTAGATTATTTTGCTGAATGTACAAATTAGTAACTGTAGGAAAACGGTATTTTGTTCTAACAGCAAATTAACTTGCCCCAAGGACAAATTCACTCTGCAGAATATTTTCTATTTGTGCAGCAAAACTATTTCTGTTCTAATTGCGAATAATTCGCTAATTTGGTTATGCCAACTAAATTTTGTCTCAACGAATATGCAGAAACAATGGTCCCACTACAACACTACAACTAATAAAATTATTTTTCTCTATGTATTAATATTGACAATCTCAACATCTAATAACACTAAGAAATCCATGTTTTTCTTGTAAAGGTCCGTGAAAATTTTTCGTTTGCTTGAACTAAATAAAGAGCAGTTTTCTTAACATTTAATTATTTTTATTTCGTATGGAATAAATTAATTCTTTAATTAATATTACCAAAATATGTCGAGAGTTAACCTCACAGATATACGTACCAGAGATCTTCTCACGATTATAAATAACTGTTATTATAATTACACACAAAACAAAACCACGCTGAAGAAAGATGGCATTTTAATACTAAATAAAGAGCAGTTTTCTTAACATTTAATTATTTTTATTTCGTATGGAATAAATTAATTCTTTAATTAATATTACCAAAATATGTCGAGAGTTAACCTCACAGATATACGTACCAGAGATCTTCTCACGATTATAAATAACTGTTATTATAATTACACACAAAACAAAACCACGCTGAAGAAAGATGGCATTTTAATACTAAATAAAGAGCAGTTTTCTTAACATTTAATTATTTTTATTTCGTATGGAATAAATTAATTCTTTAATTAATATCACCAAAATATGTCGAGGGTTAACCTCACAGATATACGTACCAGAGATCCTCTCACGATTATAAATAACTGTTATTATAATTACACAGAAAACAAAACCACGCCNATGGCATTTTAATACTAAATAAAGAGCAGTTTTCTTAACATTTAATTATTTTTATTTCGTATGGAATAAATTAATTCTTTAATTAATATTACCAAAATATGTCGAGGGTTAACCTCACAGATATACGTACCAGAGATCCTCTCACGATTATAAATAACTGTTATTATAATTACACATAAAACAAAACCACGCCGAAGAAAGATGGCATTTTAATACTCGCGGATCGCTCGATCTGCAGTCCCCGCTTTTTCTGTAGTCATTACCGTACGTCTCACTGCGCGTGCATCGTCCTTACGCGCATCCTTTTCTTTCTTTCGCGCTCTCGTCGAACTCTTTCGCCGCAACTACGTCAACTCGCTACGAGTTACTCCTTTAACGTTCGTGTTATATACGCACTCGCGTCCATTCCCAGAGGATGTGCGAGTGTATATACATATTGCGCCAAATGAGCGTGATGCTGGCGTGGCGAAACAAAACCGCGCCCGGATGCCCGTTTTCGAGCCGGGCCCAGGTAGAGCCGGCCCGCGAGAACGTCATCGCCACCTGCCGCACCGAGGCATCTCAGGATAATGGAGAAAGAAGGCGCGGATCGCGAGACGACGGTGGTGATGGTGGCGGGTGACGGCGCAAGAGAATCATTATTTCCTTGAGCAATTTGCCTTTATGCTAAACAGCTGCCGGACCGGATACAGCCTTGAACACGCCAGCACCGATTCGTCGTTGCTAATAATTCGTCGATCTGATGTCGTCTATGTCCTGCACGCGCGCGTATCGCGAAGCTACGACTGAATAAAACGCGAAAATTGCAGCGATCGCGAACGCCGACGTGAAAAAATATTTTTTCACATTCCGTCGTTTTAACGAGCCGCGACGCTCGTCGAATTGTTTCAACGTCGGCCCGAAAATTCGCATGGACCGAAACGGTCTGAAACGGTCCTATTTCTTTCTCGATAATTTCGCTCGCAAAAAACACCGGCCGAAAGCTGAAAAATAAAAAGGGCAGGGCGGAGGCGGAGAGATACCCGAGATCGAGATCGATAAAGAAACACGAGAACGCCCGGGCGAGCGCAATTCGCAGAGAGATGCCGCGTATAACTATCGTAAATAAAGGAATGCAAGGCGCGATCGCGGTTTCGCGACGATTGCACTTGCCGGTAAACGTACGGCCCATCGGCAACGAGCGGCGGTTGAGCTCGTTCTCACCGGTGTGTATCGTTGCAGGTAACACGATTGGATTTGTCAGTCGATATCGTTATCTGCTGGCCAGATGTGCGGGCTCGCAGAGGGCCGGCGGGGGGAGGGGGGAAACGGAGGACAACACCGCCCTGGTGTCGCATCGACGGCGCGTTCGGTGTCGTTACACCTGAATAGATCCCGCGCGCGCGCACTGTATGTTTTTACGCGCCGCTGTTAGATCCACTTTTAGCTCGTCGCTGCGATAACACAACCGCGATTCCGCGCGTCGAACGCGCTTAGGCAAACTCGCAAAATCTGACTGCGACTGGTTGCGTGCTCGCGAGCAACGTTTTCCTCCTTCACCTGCCGTTGTGGATTTCTTCTTGATTTTGCGTCCGTAATCGAAACGTTTTCGAAGATATATTTTAGCATTTTATTATTTAACATCTCTGTTCCTCTACGATCCACTATGCAGTATCGTCACATTTGTCTTTATAAATAATGTCCTAAGTAATAAATATTTCATAACTTTGAATCTAGAATCGATAGAACGACACTTTGATAATTGTTAACTTTTCAATATAAAATATTGATTATTAACAAAGTTATTGCAAATGTAAATGAGAGGGAATATATAATACCATTTTCTCTACTAATTTTCTTTTTCCGTATATACACTGGACGAACGAACAATGAATGCAAACTTTCGTTGTCACAATTCGATAAATGTATACGCCATAACGAATCCGAACAGAATGTTTCAGGCTAATTTGCTCATGACGTAGTTTATTAAAGAAAATTTATGTGTGTTTAGACGCAAAAATATATTAAACATTTGCGCCGTACGTTCGTTCGCTCAGTGAATACTCAGTTTGAGAGAGGCGGACAAGGAAGAGGAGGGAAAATCGATGCGGAAAGAAAGAAAGACGCAATTCGTCCTGCAGAACTTGTTCGTTTGAACTTTACTTGAAGTCGCCTTATAGCGTAGAAAGGTACATATCTTGGTTATCTCGCGAACATAGTTGCGAGATACATCGCCGCGTAAGGCCGTAAAAATGTGCTCGCGCCGCATAACACGTGTCTGATTACTATAACGTAATTACTTACTCTTACGTCGTAACGTCGTTATCATTATTATTTTCTATTTACACAATTCGACGCGGTCGAAGACGAGAGACCGCGCGAAAAGACAGTGTGAACACACGCCAACTATCCTCCCGTTTAGCTGTAGGCAGAGGTTTTTAGGATTTTCAAGTAAGTCTTCCTGTCGCGCGCGTCCGATCGCAGCGCATTCGAGAGATCTTCCGTTAACGACACAACGCATTAATCAGTTTACACACCTCGAAGATAAAATGCTAACGATTGTTCGTTGTCTTCTTTACGAGCGCCGATTTAACGGCGGATCTCGCGTTCCTTATCCGACTGGTCGTACTTTCTCTCGCAGGAAGACGATACCGTTTGTATCTTCGATAGCAGCGGTTTGCTTAGTCGTTATGCTACGTTTAATGTAACGTCACCTCCGTCCCTTGTCACACAAATAAGCCGCAAGCAGCGCTATTATTGTCTTCGCTTTTGTGTTGTCCTTTTTCGCTTCGATGTGCGTTCTAGATCGGCAGTTTCGTAAACGCGCGGCCGGCGCAACAGATTGCAGGCGACCGATCCCTTTCGACTGTCGATGTAAGTATGCGCCTCACGGATCGCGTAATTTGGAAATCAACGCTACAGGCGACGCGAATTCGCTCTCGGGTTCGCGTGCCTCGCGCTCTTAACCCTTTCGAGAGGCGACCGAGTCTCCGGGCGGAACACTCAGGTTTCTGCACGATATCGAGCTGCAATGCTCTCTATTGCGTTCCCGACTCGGCTCTATTGTTTCAAAGAGAGAAACTTGAGGAAATTGAAAGAATAATTATTGCCGTGACGCGTGTGTAAGTGTGATTTCGAAAAATCTCTTGTACAAATTTCGAAGCGCACTCCCGGCACGACGGAGATTCGCGCGCATCCGCGTCTCACAGGATTCATCGGCAAATTTAGGTGAGACGAACGGAGGCGTCCCGAAAGGGTTGAATCGGGCCTCAGACTAGCTTCTATTACCGTGAATTCTTCGAGCCCCGCATAAACATTCGCGCGTCGCCGTAATTCGCCGCGACGCAGCGGAACGAATGAACGAGCGGCAGTTGCCTATACTGCACTAAGCGCCGTCTTTTCTCTAAATATGAGGATCTTTCTAAAGATTTATTGTCTGGTTGCGCAGCTGCTATATCGGAAAACGTAGATGACCTTGCCGCCAGTAGATGACAGGCGCCGCCAGAAATTCCCCCCCTTCCCTCCCTCTCTCTCTCTCTCTCTCGCTTGCTCTTTCGGGAATCTATTGAGATCCGCTTATTATTACGATTCCGAAGAGCGTATTTTACAGTTTTATATACAGCGTTAACGTGCGTAGTTATCCCATAACATTTCGCGCGCGAATAATGAAATCTGTTTATCGTTTTACAACGAACGCTCCCACCTCCTTTTCCTTCTCGCGCAGATCTCGTCGCGTTCGTAACTCGCCCCTTCGAACATCCCCGAAATCGCGAAACGATCAAACTCCTCAGTTCTTGCACTTCTGTTCGCAGTACTGTACGAACCAATTGAGACAATTGCGTCTCTACACCGAAAAAACAATTTCGTTGGTGTAATGGAATTTTCCGTTGCTTGGGGATCAGACGAAAATTCGGTCGTAGGAACAGAAAGATTTCTGTCGGAAGTTTGTACTCAGTCTCAGTCTCAACCGAGTTTTAATGCAGCTAAATGCTCACACGAATGTTCTCAGTTGCGATAACAGAGAGATATCATTTCTTATCGCCGAGTTTTCATCTGGTTCCCATTCCGTTGCAGAAGTTAAGTTCTTTTTTCCATGTACCTCATCAGCAGCAGCGACAGTCAATCACTTAAGCCAACAGCTTAATTAATTTATAATTAAATCGCCACCTTCCTCTCTCTTTCTCTTTCCCACGCCCTGCCTTCTAGGACAGAATGACATGGAGAAAAGAAGACGAATAAGCGTTTGACAATGTAGAGTAGAATCCATAATAGTTCGAGGGAGTTATCCTTGTGTGTTTGTTCGCAAATCAAGTCCCAAGTTGTCGTCGCCCACCTTCTGTCACCGGTGCTCACGACTGTTTTCTTCCCGAAACGCCCGACAAACGTAATCCAGCCGGATGCTTATACCAAGACGATTCAGTCGTCCTTCCGCTTTCTGAGCTTACCCTCCGTCTGAATGGTCCTGGAGACTTGATCCACGCAGGTGGCGAGGGAGGCGCCGCTCGCAGCGTCGCCCTCGAACATCTCGCAGATCTTGGTGAGCGTGACGATGTAGCTGCAAGCGATCCTCAGTACCGACAACTTCGACAGCTTCTGGTTGTGCGAGTACGCGGGTATGGCTCGTCTCAGAGTGTCAAAGGCCGCGCTGATGGTGTGCACCCGGGTGCGTTCTCGGGCGTTCGCCTCTATCCGTCTCTCCCTCGTCATGTTCTTGTAATTCCTCTGCTGGCCACCGCCGTTGTTTTGGTGCAGGTGCCTCGTGGAGGAGGCATGCGATGGCGACGACGAGGAAGAAGTGCTGCTGATGACGCCTGCGGTCGGCGCTGCATGGAGACGCTGATGAGGTCCTCCTCCTTGCGGAGGACTCGAGTGGTCTCGGTGATTGCGATGGGACTGGAGCGGTGACGTCGTCGTCGTCGTTGTCGTCGTCGTCGACGATGCTAGAAGGTGTTCCATCATGTACGACGGCGATTTCTCGTAGCTGCCGCTCACCGCCGGGTGCAATGGCACTCGGGGCGCTTCGTCTCGCATGACCAAGGATAATGGCTCTTCCTGCAGCCTAGGATGCTTCAAGGCGACCGGCGACGCGGACGGTATTGGTGTCTGCGGCGGTGACTCCAGCCTCTGACGAGACTCCCGTCGAGATAACACGACTGATCGATTGTGAGTGGTGCTTTCTTCTAATCTCTGCAGAGTCTTCTGCAACCTCCGTATCGTCGTTTTATCCGTAGTGTGGTTAACATGGCCATTTTCCTCGTGATTCCTCCTATCCGTTTCCGCGAGCAGTTGGCCGTTGATCTCCTCGGGCGCCGTATTCGTCGAGGGAGTCGTCGACGTCGTGGTCGACGTTGTCGTATCGGACACCGTCATCGTCAACGTCGTCGTGGATGTTTTAGACGTTTCGTTGCTCGTGCGAGGAATAATCCAAGGTCTGAAGGGACTCGGCGTGCTCATCGGTCTGCTCTCGTCATCCACAACCGTCTCCTCGATCTGATGGAACCGTCTCTTCTTCAACGGCGCGGTGCTGGGCTCCTGGATCTTGCGCGGTTCCGCCAGTTTCCTCTTGTTCCGCAGGGAGATTGGCGTCACCTGCACCTCCACGCTATCCTCCGACGCGCTGGGCGAGTGCAGCCCCGACCTGCTGTCCTCGTCGCCGCCGCTGGAGGACGCGCTGTCTCTCTCGGAATCCGCCATAACACCGGCTGTAAATGAAAACAGAACGAGACGCGTTAGTTTTACGAGTTGTATATGTGTGTGTATATTCTCTTAAATTGAATCAGTGAAAATGTCACTAATTGGATCAGCGAAATAGTATACTAATTTTTCACGGTAACTCCTCCAGCTATTTTGTCTGATACTTGACTAATATTGGCCAGTGAAAGATTCACTGTAAATCGCTGTCACGCTTCCTATAGCAGGCTAATATACATGTCGTACATGTTTTCAACCATATGTCATATTTGATATAATTCGAAGCTTAACCATTTAAAGGTCTCGAGTTCTCTTTTCGAGTCCGATAAGCATATTTTTCAAATATGATATAAATTAAATCAATTAAACATAATTAAGAATATTTCAGGATAAATCATTGATAACAATCTCAAAAGTGAGATTGAGATAATAAAAAAGTAAAAAATAATATCTTTTTTAGCTATTTCTGCAACTAGATTTCTCGAATGGGAACAATTGCTGTCATTAACAAACCTTTGCAGCAAAATTTGATTCATTTGCAGTGCTATACTAATCATGATCACTAGTGACTGATTGCTTCTCCGTGATAACACACGCTAATTTTACTTTAGAGAATACATGTGCGTGCGACAACTAGGAAAATTGAAGAAGAAAAAAACGGACACAAGAGACATTAATTATCGTTAGTCGAGTCATTCGAGTCTCTTAAATCACGGAGGTAGAAGTATAATCTGTGTTTTCTTGAGTGAATAAATAATGTTTCGCGGCGCGACGTGACGAACGCGGTGCGGCGCACGTGTTTTCCTCTCGCGATTCCCGTGGGCGGAACCGCGCACGCTTCGCCTCGGACACGGGAGGTTTTCTGCTTTGATGCGTCATCCAGCTGGTACCATCTGGCGCGCACGGGGTCCGACCGAGAGAGAAAGAGAGAGGATTATAATATACCCGCGTGGTCTCGCTGGTCTATCTCTTTCTCTTCCTTTTTTTATTTCCCCCTCCCTTCGTCCCTCTTTACATTCGAACGGATTCCAAGGCAGAGACTAATTTCGCAGATTTCAGTATCGCCAGCGAAGACGCTTGTCATCGCACGACTTACGCCAACTCGCGACACCCATCCGTCGTCTCGGCGCGTTCTGCTCGATCTACGAGAGCGCGCGCTTACGTAGAAAAATCCGGATGGGCTTGACACGTGCGAGAAACTTGCGAGAGAGACCATCTGCGCGACGCGCGAATTATCAAACGAGCTGACGTAACGCTCCGTTTGTGCAACAATTGCATGCGCAAACATGTACAACGACTGCGCGAGCGACGTACTTCTATCCGCGACACGACACGTCGGGGGCCGTCCGGTGATTGACGTTTCTCGTTGGTGGCATCGCGCGACAAATAGTCCGCGAGAAGAGACTCCGCCGCGATTTTAATTGAGCTTCGACGAAGGCGGAGGCGCGATTATGCAAATCGTAATCGCGCGGTCGGCGAGCGCGAAAGCGAGAACGACCGATCTCGACGACGACGCGGCGGCTTTCCTATGGCGAGCGATCGGCCGCGAAATAATTCAACTCGAGCCCACGAATCCGGTGTGTGTGTGTGTGCGCGCTGCAGATACAACGAGTCGGATTTCTCGATCGGCGGATCGCCGGCGCCGCTGACTCTGCCTTCTTATCCTCCGCTCCTCTCTCATTCTTACGTTTCTTCCTCCTCGTCTCACCGCCGCTATGGAGTTCGTTCTCGAATGAGATTACTGAATCGGAATCAGTTAACATCCTTAAGAGGCGTCTGGCGTCGTACTCACTCGTACTCAAGCATACGATCGCGTTCATTAGCTCTCTTCTTCGTCGCCTAATCAGTTTCTAACGTTTCTTGCGGAAATCTTTCGTCATTGCTGTAATCTCTCTCTTTTTACGTTCTTTAAGACACAGAAAAGTTTTCCTCCGTCTTACATTTCCCCGTATTTCACATTAGATTAAATCATATTAAATCCCCCTCTTCGTCTTCAATTAATCTTCTTCAACTCAACTCTCCTCTACTGCTCTACGAATTCCGGTTTCGCCGGAATGTTTTCAACGAGCGCGATCAAGCCTGGTCTGGCCGCACTCGATAATGTAAACTCGATTATTATTTCACGCGCGAAACGTAAATACAGGAGCGTCCAAGTGCGCCAATGAGAGACGCTCAGCGCTTCCCGGTTGGGAATCCAGGGGTCAAACGGCGCGCGCTTGATTTTGTTCGATCTCTCGCGCGTATTAATAAACGCGCGCCACTCCGCCTGTCGCCTTCTTTTTCTCGTGTCCTCTCTCGAGGCAAGACGAGAAGCAAAGCACGGCCGCCACATGGCGCTGGCGCCAACCTCGTCTGTTCGTTGCTCTCCTCCTTTTATTGCCTTTCCGAGAGGAGTCATCGCGATCGCGATGGGATCGTTTTTCCTTTCTGGTCGCGCTGACCTCGACGCGACGCCAGCTTTCCCGAAAACTTCTTGCGGATCCGATGCACCTTGGAACCTGTCCAGTCTTCCGAGGTAGGAAGAAGGGCCCGATAAGTGACCGAAGCCAAACATAGATTTCTCGCAGCGTTTCCCTCAGGCCGACGGGCACCGTGATTTTCCCGTCATGAGAGCACGCGCGCTCGCTCGTCGGCCGATCGGCGAGAAGTATAAATATAAACGCGGCTAATGGTGTTTTAATTGCTGTTGACGGCTACGTAATGTAAACCTGACGAGGGGATAATATATGCTGTTCGGCTGGGTGTTTGTCCCCCAACACGCGGGCCGAGACTTTGTGTCGAAAGCGTAATGGTAAGAGCGGTCTTGCGTAATGTACGGACGAAATTAAATCCCCGATCGGCTCACGATCGGTACATTCGCGAGGCGCGTGACTTTTAATCAGGGACCGGTGCTCCCTCGCGCATCCGCTCTCTAAAGTGCAATCACTGAGAAGCAGTTAATAGTCACTAACGATCACAGTTATAAGCACAGCGCTACAAATTGGTAAAATTTCGCTACAAAGGTTAATAATAGCGGCAACCGTTTCCATCGGAGAAATCTGATTGCAGGAACAGTGAAAAAACATATCATTTGTTACTTCTTTTTTATCATCTTAATCCCACTCTTGCGGTATTGTCAACGATTTTGTTTGAAATATTTTCAATTATGTTTAATTAATGTAACTTATATCATATTTGAAAAACACGCTTATATGAACTACGCTAAATATGACATATGGTTGAATGTATACACGATATGTACATATATATTTCTGCTACAGAACGCGTAACAGCAATTTGTAATGAATCTTTCACTGGCCAACCTCAATTAAGTATTAGATAAAATAACTAAGTGGGGGAGTTTTCACTAAAAATTAGTGAACACTCACTAGTTATCAGTAGAATACTATTTCATTGATTCAATTGGTGACATTTTCACTGATTCGACTTAAAAGAGTGGACTCCGACAGATTTCAGTGAGCGATTTTAACCGAGAGAAGAGCGAACGATTAAAAGCTTCTCTTCGTGTTACACATCGAGTAGAATTTCTCGACCGCCGGCTACTTGTTTGTAAAACAGAGAAGTTACACAATATAGAAGCAGGGCAGAGCGAGGGAGAAAGAAAGGGAGGCGGAACTGTTCGCGTAAGATAATACTTCAGGCCACCTGGCATCGTCGGTGCTTGTCGCATGTTTAGAGGCCTTATCGCGCCGATAACAAGGCCGCACTTTCGGCCATCTGCCGACGACGACGATAATTATTATTGTTTAACGAACGAAGAGTCTCTTCCCCGTAATTCCGCGAATGTTTATCCGTCGAAACTCCAATACGGGATATTTCGGGACTCTCGCAAGTCATCGTTACTGAAACATTTCTTTTCCTACTTACTGTAATGTCAACAATGAAGAGTACAAAGGTTGAATCTGTGCATTTTCATCCATACGTACGTACACACAGAGAAAGAATTTTATTGCGATTTCGTCTCGCGCGTGAAAATAAAACGTTGCGAGTGCCTGAAAAGGAAATTATCTTGACGCATTGCCGGGAGGAGGTGAAGTCTCCGGGGTCATCAACAGGCGCCGCCGGACACATGCTCGATCATCGGTCGATTCATAAACATCGACCGGGCGAAAGAAACACGAATGAAAGAGGTCGCAATGAGTTCACGACGCGCACGCAATTGATAGCGACGGTTCGCCCGATTGTAACGTGTTGTCTTTGCCGAGACACAAATTCATATCATTCATATGTTGCATTAAAAGTCGATAGTCAAAGCAGTGACCGAGCAAATGAAGAAAGTGCGTCGCAAATTTGAATTAGAACGTGCAAGTAAACGGAGAAAACAATTTTGCTGGGATAGTAACAGCAAAAAGATTTGTTAAGGGTATTAATTTTTAGTTACGCCAACTAAATTTTATTGTTGTCGCAACAACGTTTTGTTACACCGAGAAAAAAAGATGTAAAACATTTATGAAATATAAGGTTTATTTAAACACGGCGAAATAAAATTTTATTCCTAACAAATAAACTCATTAATAAGAAAACTTGGGTATGTTTCGCAAAATTATATATTTCGTCATCATAGTCAAATTTTTTTCTAATCAATAAATATCGAAGAAAATATCGCAAGGAACATTTCGCAAAATTTCAATATTGTTTTCTAAGCGTACAACAGCAAAATTATCTTTTCCGTGCGACAAATTTTTGCTGTCACTATATTACCCAACTATTCCAGCGAAATATTTTTCCCTGTGTAATCTCATTAGCGAGGATACACAGCAATATTATCACACGAAATTTACGAAACTAGTAGTTCAAATGTCATTGAGCTTCGAGAGGGGAACTCGAATCGCGATTTATTTCACGCGCTATAAGCTGCGCGCACGAAGGAATGAACACGAGCGCACTCTCGTCTAAATTTGCATAGGAGTGTTCAGGTAGTTTAACGTTAACGCGTGAAAATGAGAAGAGGAAGCGAGGCGCGCCACGACCCGCCACGTCGTACACCGTGTTCTTGTGAAATTTAAATCAG